ATGCCATTCTGCCTGAAAGAAGTCACCACCTGAAAGATAGCAGGTACGTTAGCTATTGGCACAGTTAAAGGGCAAGTCGATGTATATTTAATACAACGAGCATATTCTCTGTCAATACTAATGGCACCGGGATTTGTACACTTCGTTGCACAGGAACACTTCTACAGTCAGTGTGAGGGGAAATTAATCTTTACGCATGCAGAGAGAGTTCATCTCATCGCCTCCTACTCCCACCACCTCTCTCCAGGTTATTTGATAGTTGTGGAGTTTACTGTTCTCTGGGGAAATGGGGCATGTCGGCTTGAACCTTCTCGTGCTGAGGAGGGAAAGTAACCCAGGTTTCTCATTTCCCAATCAAGTCTGAGCTCTGCTAGGAACAGTTTGTTTCTGATCTGAACCGACCCTCGATGCCACATCTTGTTTCCATACCAGCTGCTTTAATCCGTTTCTAGTGAGCCACCATCTGCTGCTGCTTCTCTCTCCTCTAGGAATACGTGCTCTCTGTATGTGCTGTCCCCGGGCAGTCCACCTTCCATTGGTAGCAGTTCCTTCCCCTCCAGGTGTCTCCGCCCATCCTCCCCCATCCAAAGACAAAATCTTTGCCCTTGCGTCTACATTTCCTGCCCACAAAACTAAATGATGTTGAGAGGACAGCTCATCAGCAGACTAAGTGCTGTGACCTTGAAGCTGTTGTGTAAAAGCGTAACCAGAACCCCTGCTCCGCATTTTGAAAAACAGACGGCAGCCACAGATAGCAAGTGTTACATACACACCAAGTCTATACAACACCTTGTTTCCTTCCAGGGATTTAGGCAGAATCCGCCCCTCAGTGTGGATGTACGGGCTGGAATGTGAAGGTAATGGAGCTCCAACAGGAAGCAGGTGCCGAGACGCTCCCCTGGGCCATGTCCGTACACGTGCGGCCATCCGCAAAACTTTGAGACTCAAAATGGGAGCGCTGATTTGAACGTACTCTAGTGTAAGGACTTAATCAAAAACTGCAATAGCTCTGCTAGTCTTGGACACTTAATTTCCCTA